ATATCTCATGCAACAAGAATATTATAATAGAAATAAAGTATACAGAAATATGAAAGACATATAAATGAATTAAAAAAACATATTGAATCGGTTGTAAGTAGAATAGATTATGTTAAAATTGAAAAATAATTATATGCTCGACAGAGTCAAACGTGAACGTGATAAGATAAAAGAAAATCATAAGAAAAAACTAGAAAAACTTAATAAAGGTCCTATAGGATAAAATTATGAAACAATACATAATAAACTCGTTCATAATATATCAACATACGTTCTCAGTCCAGCTGAAAAGAGACTTTTATGTCGTGGCTGGAATTTTTGTATAAAAAGTAAAACTAAAAAAATGGATGACTTTAAAACAGATATGGAGATTAATGCAACCAAGCTTGAATCTCATTTTCTTCCTTCGGTTTTCTCAACAATACGTCATCATTTACATGATTATGCAAATAAATATATTAGAAATATAAATAATAATAATATTCGTAATATTAGCGATGAAGAATTTCAGGCTATAAAAACATTGCGCAATAATAAAGAAATCATAATAAGTCGCGCCGATAAAGGCAACGCCATCGTAGTGATGGATAAGAAAGACTACATAGAAAAAGCTAATAATATTCTTCAATTAAAGCACTTTCAACATACAACTAAATCTCTACAAAAAGAGAAAGAAGAAGAAATGAACAAATATCTTCGAGAGTAATAGAAAGAAAATACTATAACTAAAGAACTATTTTATAGTATCAGGTCTACATGCTCATCGATAGCTTGCATGTATGGACAACCGAAAATCCATAAAACGGTTATCCGCTAAGACCTATTATATTATCAATAGGGAGTTATAATTATGAACTCTCTAAATATTTAGCAGGCTTAATAAAAGCCAATCGCGTAAATAAGTCATTTCCATATATACAAGACTCATTTGATTTAGTCAAACAAATAAAAGAAATAACAAACGCTAAACAACAAGTAATGTGTAGCTTCGATGTTGATGCATTGTACACGAACGTACCAGTAAAAGAAGTCATAGACATAGTTGTAGAGTCTATGGAAAAATCAAAAGCACACCATTTAATAAAAAAACAATTTAAAAAATTGCTTGAACTCGCCGTCTGTAACGTATAACATTCCGCTTCATTAATGAGTACTATATACAGTGCGATGGTGTTGCGATGGGGTCACCACTTGGACCTATACTCGCTGATATGTTCATGAGTAAGCTAGAAAATAAACTTAATAAATTCTCAAAAAACAAACTACAAGTGTGGTTAAGATATGTCGACAACATACTTTGTATTTTCGATAATAAACAGAACATTGATAATGTTCTAGAAAATATAAATAAGTGCCATAAGAATATAAGTTTCACAAGAGAAAAAGAAATAGATAATAGAATACATTTTCTAGATGTGCTAACAATTAGAAATATGAATACTAACAAATGTGATACGACTATTTATAAAAAAAACAAATACTAGCTTCTATCTACTCTACGAGAGTAATCAACCTAGAAAATACAAAGTAGGTCTTATAAGAACTCTAACTGTTAGGATATTATTGTTATATTCTTCTGATAGATATTCTAATCAAAAACTAATAGACCTAGAAAAAGCACTAGGCGAAAACGGATATCCTAAACATATTATACGTAGAGGTATCAGAGAAGGAAAGATCATCACTACAAAAACCATTAATAAACATAAAAAAAAATAATAATAGTACATCAATAAAGAAAGAAAATATTTTTCACATTATCATACTATAGACATGAATTCAATATACTTGCATCAAGAATACATAAACTATGTACAAGACTTCTACCTCATCTAGAAATCAATATAACATTAAAAAAAACACTAACACACTCAAAAAAACATTCTTATCTATGCAAAAATACGTAGGCGAAGAGAATAAACTTAAAAAATTAGTTTATCAAATACCATGTAAAAACTGTAATTACAGCTACATTGGAGAAACTAATAGAAGTCTAACCACAAGAATAAAAGAACATAAAGAAAATATAAGAAAAGTAAAAGAAAACTCGAATACAACACAAGATGTTTTCGAAAAGAATCATTCTTTTGATTTTGATAATACCAAAATCTTATCTTCAGAAATAAATTGGAAACGTAAAATCCTAAAAGAGAGTCGTTTCACACACTATAGCTATGGTAAGCCTTTAAATGAAGTTAAACATAAATTAAAAACTTTCGCATAAAAATAACAAAAATTATAATTATTATGTAACTATATATTATCATATAAATCTATTTATTTATATTTAAGAATTTGATATCACCTATATTTAACCTCTAGATGTAATAAATATCATACTCCTTCACTCAACAACTATCTAACATATAAACGTGAAAAAAATACATCTACATATATTAGTCATCATTTGTCATTTAATTATTGTTTTTCATCTATTATGTCTCTATATCTTGTACAAAAAATGCTTCTTATTCTTTCTCTTTGTGATATTCCTGATGATGATGATAGTTCTTGCCGAAAGCTCGAAATAAAATTAAATAAAGTTTGAATTTTGTTAAAATTCTCATGTATTTTGTGGCAGTTATAAACTCAATATTATCTTCAATATACGGAAAACATTGATTTTAGCAGGATTTCTTTGATGCTTTTTCTTTTTTTCAGATTTCTCATGATCCCAGCTGCACGTTGGAGTACAAATCACCAAATACGGATCTCTTGATGCTGTCCTTCGAATGCTGCTTTTCACGATTCTCGACGATACTTCGTTCGAAACGTGATTTCAGCAAGATTTTTTTTATGCTTTTTCTTTTTTACCAGATACTTCATGATTTTTGCTGTATGGTGCACGGAAAATCATAGGAAGCTTGCGTTAAGTGCTCTTGATAGATTCAGGCTATTGACAGTGCTGCTAAAAGATCTGTGGAAAGTATGATTTCTGTGATTGCGTTGTGATGTGGATTAGGTTTTTGGGTGCTTGAATTTTTTATTATGATCTCTATAGAAGTGTAGTAAAATTGATTTCTGTTGTGGACTCACTATTGAGCAGAGGGTTTTGTGGATTTATTTTTCTGTTTTGTTAAGTATTGCGACCGTAAACGGTCGGTTACGATGTCGTTACGACCGTATACGTTGCAGTATTTGATCGTTTCCTGTTTATGATACGGCCGTATCCGAACGTATACGATCTTCAGACGGTCGTTGTGTTGTGCCGTATACGACGCGGCGATATACGACGCATACAAAAACGTTAAAATACGGCCCATATACGGTCGTAAATTCCGCGTATACGGCCCTATACGACATCGTAAACGGTCGTTTACGGTCGTATCTAGCCGTCGCAATGCACGACTGGGAATTGTAAAATTTGAAAAAAGGTAAGTTCTCAAATACAATTGATCACGAAACTTGAAGATTTTAAAATCGTCTATGCCAAACGGAATTGTTCTTGTTTATGTAGTTGTGTATTTAATTTTAAATACCATTTAAAATAACATTACTCTGATCTCTTGTTAGTCTAAATCTAATTATATGAAAATTTAGCAATACTATTTTAAAAAGTATTTTCATCAATGTCTATGAATCTCATTTGAAGAACTCATAAAAGTAAGATATTACTTTAGCACTTGACTTTCAAATATTTTGCTTTCTATATATAACTTCAATGAAAAGATTTCATCCCACGATGATGAATTAAGAAAAAAGTAATGGAGAATTTTCAAAGCAAAATATGTTGATATTCACATTTTAATCTATATTTATAACGAGGAGCGAACTTTATAAATCGCAAAAAATGATAAACTTAGCTCAAAGCTTCGTATGATGTGGAAGAGAAAAAATGTATAATTTCTCTGATTGTCTAATAGAACTATTAGTAATTCTACTAATGGTTTCGTCGAGTGTTTAAAATATTTTTTTCAGCAATCCATTAACGTGAACTAACATGGCCGACTGAAAAGTAAATTTTCTTAATTTCTCATCTTCACGATGAAGAGAAAAGAGTTCATTTTTCCCACGCATGACCAATACTGTGCGAGTCCCTAATCCACTCTCCCCCGACGACTCCCCGGAGAGTCCCCGCAAAATAACGAAACCCCTGGGGAGTCCCTGTCGTGAGTCCCCGGGGACTTTTTATTTGGGGGACTCCCCGGGGATTTCTCTGGGGAGAATTGGTGAAGTTTTTTAAAATTAAAAAAATCTTCATCGATTTTGGTCATATAACTCCCCGGGGAGTCCCCAGTGAGTCCCCATAAAAGAACGAAATCCCTAGGGACTCCCTGTCGTGAGTCCCCGGGGATTGATCAGGGGACTCCCTGGGGATTCTTCTAGGGAGAGTTGTCTAGGGGTTGCTTATGTTTTAATAACACAAGAAGAACAAGGTTAGAAATTTTCTAGGTAGGAGTCTACTCTGTAAAAAAAGGTGTCATACGGAACCTTTTCTCGGTACCATTTTCAGAACTATTTTTAAGTTCAAGCGAAAAAGTCTTGAGTTTAAAGTGGTACCTTCATCTAGAACCTTAAAAGATTCGAGACCTTTGCTAAAACCTTAAATGGTTCAGTATAGCACCTTTTTTTAGAGAGTATCAACTTGTATTTCATCATCGAAAAATTTTTACTTTCTAGATATCTATTTAGATACTTCAATCATAGAGAAACAAACAACGATCAGTAGTTATTTACGCTGTTCGTTTTTTCAAACAAAATGTTGTAAGCTATATTTTTCAAATAAAATCTTACAATTACGAAATTTTAATTTAATAGGAATAAAGAATCCTTGCGTCATCAAAAATGTTTAATATCACTTGTATTTATTTTATTAATGATTTTATTATTTTTCTATTCATTTGGAACTTTGTGTGGGCCCTCGATATCTTTTAATGTGAATAGACAACTCACAACAATAACAACAACACTCATTAATTTAAAATTGAGTCCGGTTTCAAATATTCAGGAGCCATACATATTTTCAAAAAAACAGTATTTAAATGAAACTCGCCAGGTAAGCTTTTTCTCACATTGTTTCTTATATATAGGTATATTTGATTATTACAGCCTACTGTAAATGTTATTGCCTTCTTAGTGGCAAGTCCTACTGGTGATATGCGCCTAGCTTATAATCCTTATCCAAGACTTCGTGAGAGAGTTATTCAACTTGATGAACGTCTTGGTGATAATAAGACAGCAGATCTAATTATATTTCATACTGGTTATCCGTTTCATGGAGATGTAACATCAATAATGAAGGCCACCGCACGAAACGTACTGTTCGTGAATGTTGATCACATATTTTACAGATTTTCTCCTGGTTTCGATCCACATATAAGAGATCCAACTTGGACACAGAGAGGTAAATGGAATTATCATCATATGTGCTATTTTTGGTTTAAACAAGTATTCGAATTAAAAATTATTCAACAATATCGATACATGATGCGACTTGATGATGATTCGCAAATGCTAGGTAATTACAACGCTGTATGATTGAAAATATTTTCAATATTACATATTGAGAGTTTATTTGAATTGTTACGATAGTATTATATGTCGAAATGTTTAACAAGTATTAAAATAGATTGATAGAAAAAACAAAGGGAATTAGAGGAATCTCCCGAGCTGAGTTCAATGTTGTCAAGTATAGTTATCTAAACAGTTTTCAGAATTATGTTAGTTATAACAAGTACAATTCTTTTTTTTATTCAGGTAAATGGCCTAATGTATTCGAAATAATCGCCAAACGTCAAGCTCTTTACATCGCAAATAGAAGAGAAGTGGATTTCGATTATGTTCTTCCTGGTATGACACTCGTAAGAAATATCACTCTGGCTTTCATAAGAAAATATAATATAAGACCTCGGAATCCTGATATGATGGCTGATATCTTTAATCGTACACTAGAAACACCTAATTATTGGAATAATGTTGAAGTAATAGATTTATCATTGATTCGTCAAATAGAAGTTATTGACTTTATGCGTTGGGTTGATGAATCAAGAGGCATATTTCTCTATCGTTGGGGTGATGCTCCTCTTCGTTATATAACATTAGCACTTTTTGTAAATGCAACGCAAATATTGCATTTAAATAAACTAGAACTTGGCTATTGTCACCCTTGTTAACCAATTGTAAGGATTTTTGTTTTATATACGAAATAAAATAGAGAATCAGAAACACTAAATGAAAGAGGGGTGTCCTAGGACTGAGGATTAGGAGTTCCTCATCAGTTCCCCTACAGTTCCTTGCATACTAAAGGTAAAAATATGGGATATTCATGATAATTTGTGTTCTTACACTCATTTTCACTTGCAAAATTGCGAAAATCAATGATTTCCTACAAAATTTATTTTTAAAACAGGAATATCGCGACTTTCGTGAATGGTGGAACTGTGAGGGAACCTATAGTTGATTCCAATTTCCTCTATGAATTATCACAGTGACACTGACAATTCCTCAGCATATTAGGAATTCCTATTTCTCAGTCTTTGGACACTGCTGGTTAAAACTCAAAATCTAGGTTCGACAACATTATCCTCAGATCTTCCTTATATATTAACTGCTGGTACAGATGTCGATCCTTCTACAATACATAATACGACGGCTAATCCAAATGCTACCTCGATTTCTACAGTACCTATTTCAGTCATAAATAGTACATTTTCAATCACAGTTCCTTCCCGGAGCGTCATCGTTGTTGCTCTTGTACTCTAATATCATTTCTTAAGCTCTATCTTTAGATATAGATATAAAATGTGCTTTTCTTTTATGATGATACTGATTATTTTCTGTGTCATTCATTAACCCTAAAAATAAATGATAGCACTCATTCATTTATATAAAACATGACAAAAACAATATTGTTTTTTTTTGTATCATAGAAACTTCATCAAAAACGACGCGAATATAGAATTCTTTTGTATTATATAAAAATGTTCATAAACTAAAATTTGTTTATACAAACTATGTTGACTCATGAATACTGTGATTTGTTAAAGAACAATGAATAAGCAAACTGAAATGTATGATCATCAGAGACAAGAAAAAAAATATTATCGTTCTCTAAAATGTGAAACTTGTATTCTTTTTTCACTAATCTAAATTTTATCTTATCTTATTTGAATAAATGTTCAGGTTTGCTAAAACTATTCCTGACTGTATAAATAATTTACTAGTTTGAAAACTTTTTCCTTTAAATGTTCCTTATCAACGATTTAATCAATTGATAAATTTCAAATCGATCCAAATTTTCTTGAATAATTAAGTTGTTTCTATCCTAGAACGTGTGCAATTACTTATTCACATTTCCGTTCAAGATCTTTGGTGCAAAAAAGCAACAGAAAGACAAGCAAATTGATTTTCAGCGCCACTTTAAGACCAACAACGAAATCTTTTTCTCTTGAGCGAACAAATAAATTGATGTTCCCGTTTCTTTTCATCATTTTTCCAGCATAGATAAAAGATGTACGATTCAAAAGAAATCAATTTTCTTCCCGAGTCTATTCAAAGCATACTTTATAATTTCATTAAAACAAAATTATTTGTAAAACAACAAAACTTCTGAGAATTAACACCAGCAATGATAATAATAGTGATTCTAAAATGCGACTACTTAAATTTTCTTCTGCATCAATCTAAAATGAAAGAATGACAGTTATTATTATTTTCCTTCCTTTCGAATGTTACCAGTCATTATTTATTCATCATCAACGAACGCTACTATGCGAGAAAAATAAGGTACAGAGAATAAATAACAAATCAATAAAATTATATGCATGATTAATTATCAAATTCGACAAATACATTTTATATTACCAATGAATTCTACAATCAAAGTTAAAAATAAATTGAACATGTAATAAGCTGTTCATATCCATATGAAATTTTCTACCGCTATTCGCATTACTTTAAAAGTGACATGCATATTCGACACGAATTGGGATGATTATACTTTGCTTCATTCAATGTATTGATGAATAAAAATTATTACTGATATACGAGATATCATATAACAGTCGTCATTTTGAGCTTGTTACCATTCCATATGACGCCACCAAAGATACTCCTTATTTTATAATCAGATGCTATTTCATGAAAATACTTACGATTGATGGTATCACTATGAGATTTGTGAAAATACATCAACTTCAATTTAATAACGAACCGATACAAGTTTTCATCCTAGAAAATATTCCTACCTTACTGATCGGAATATTCATAAAAATTTTAATTTTTTTATAGAAGGATTAAATGCTACAACAATTGTTGGTATCACGTGTATTTTCAATGATACTTCAATTTTTATTAATTCTACGTTATCTTTTTTGTATTCAATAACTAGTTGAATACAAAAATTGATACGATACTAAGTATATATTATTAGATTGCTCTCTTTTTTTTTACAAGGTTAGTTTTACTCTGTATTTAGTCATTCTCTCGTTTTTTTTCTTCATAACTTTCCTTTGATTCCTCTTTCCTTCATATGCTTTTTTTTCTTATCATACGAAGTCTATTTGAAGTCAAACACAAGCGACATCATAAGCATGTAAAAACAAGAGAAGAAAAGAACGTGTTTCTTATTCATTTGTGTATGTGTAACGTTGGCAAGTTTTACCCTTGAAATTTCTCTTTTTTTTATTCACCCTTGTAAGTGAAAGATATGTCAATGAGATTTAAAGATTCTCTTATAATTTTAGAATTCAATTCTACAGTTCAAGTATGTGTTTCATTATAGTCCTTCTATTAATACTCTACATAGGTTATCGATTGTATCAATATTTATATCCCTCGCCAGACATCAATCCACGCGGTAAATATGTATTGATAAGTGGGTGCGATACGGGGTTTGGTCATACATTAGCTATTGAACTCGATAAAAAAGGTTTCAATGTTTTCGCTACTGTTTATAATGATGAAAATGAAGCTTTATTGAAAAGTAAACTTTCGTCGAATGCTACCGTCTTCTGTCTTGATATTACTAAGCCAACGCAAATCGAAGCCGCTTATAAAATCGTTCGAGATAAAACTGATACATTGCATGCACTTGTTAATAATGCGGGTATCGATCAAGATAGTTTAATCGATTGGATTACACTTGATTTTATGAGGAAAATGATGGAAGTTAACTTTTTTGGGCATGTTGCAATGACGAAAACATTTTTACCATTACTGATAGCCAAACGTGATTCGCGCGTTATTAATTTATGTTCCGTAGCTGGTTATTTAGCAGCACCGAGTATGTCATCGTATTGTGCGTCGAAATTCGCCTTCGAATCATTTTCCGATTGTCTCCGTCGTGAAATGCATCCATGGGGACTACATGTCAGTATAATTGAGCCCGGTTACATGCGTACGCCGATCATCGAAGGACATGTAGAAGTAATGCGTAAAATATGGGATTCATTACCAACAGATACAAAAGATCGATGGGGTAAAGACTATTTTAATAATCTATTGGAAAGACGAAACAACAATTTATTTATTCATTTTGCTGAAAATCCTATACGAGTAGTACAATCGATTCAACATGCTGTTATTAATACAAAACCATCTATACGTTATCGACCTGGATGGCAATCAAGTTTCATTTTCTTTCCACTTTCAATGATTCCGGCTTGGAGTACTGATATAATGATGGATAAATTACGTGGTCGAAGTGTAATACCTGCCGGCGTATCCAAACAACTTATGTAATAAAATTAGATATAATCTAAAACAAAAAGCCATAACATATAGTATTAAATACATTTTTCTCTTGATTAAGCATTATAATTTTAGATACGAAATAAACGTGTAATAATTGTTTTGATTTTATGATGAAGTATTACGAAATAAATCGAAGACTTGTCTATTTGTCATTATATGTCTCGTCGAATATCAATAGTGTTGACGTTAATTTTCTTAAGAAGAGCTGCGGTATGAAATGTTTTTATAAACCAGTAGAGAGGACACATATTTTTCAATTTAGAACTCTAAGACTTTTATTTATGATGAAAACAATACCTTTGTGGAGTATAGCCCTCTATTGGTGGCGGATAGTGTTCTTAAAAAAATGATAACTTCAACAATTCCACAATACATGAATCAATTTTAAAATATATAATCTTTAATTCTTGATTCGAAAGACTCGACAAATAGTTCATTATTAAATAATAAGTTTCTAACCAGAACTACTATTTGTTTGTAACATTATGTTAGTCAATAATAACACTATTTTAAAGATTTCCTGAATTTTCATGTTGTTCTCTGAGCAAATATTTTCATCATCATGTTACTATGGTTTTCTCGACGTTCATTTTCAACTTCCTATTAGAACGATAACTTGCTGATGGAGTTCATTTGAATCGAATTGCTTTATGACACGTGAGAAAACTTTGTTTTCAGAAAGTGAGAATAATATATTCATGAAAACCTTTAGTAATCTTATAATTCGTATTTTTATTCTGATAATTATAAAAGAGTCTTCCAAGTGTTCTTTAATCCAAAGTTGAAAGTGCATTTTTCTACGATTGTACGACTGATATTTAATTACAAACGTCTTTAGATCCTATTTGCCTTTGTTCTATACAGATCACAAGAATAAATGTTTCAGTCTCTTTTTTTACTATTTTGAGTTGAATTGGTTGCCTCTATATTTGTTATTGAGAAATTAAAATCCTCAATACCTCTGTTTTCTAAATGAGAAAACTAATAAAACTATATTATGTAGATCTAACTAGGGGGAGGGGGGCACTTTAACTTTACTTTAAAAATTAAAGTTTAAAGTTAAAGTGCCATCCCTAGATTCAGCAAGAGAATAGCACACGTCAAGGCATTGTGCATTCAGTTTACATCATGAAATATATCACTAATCTAATTCGAAAAAGTGAATACAAAATTCTATAAAGTTTCGTTTGCAACATCGAATGATAATGCGCAATAAATTAATGAATTGATATCTTTACGTTTAATATCTAAGTAAGAAAAAATATGATACTCATAGACGAACATTTCGTCAGCCCGTTATTATTAAAAAGATGATAAAAATCTATTTGACTATTACTTCACTTTCATATTAAATCACTAGCATAGAAATATTGTATTACACTTCAGGGAATTCAAATATCGTGATGCTTCCAAGTGTTCATAAAAACCTTCACTTCATACGTAATAAAATTCTCAATATTATCATCTGCAATCAAATTTGTATATGTTTCTGATGATTGTGATTGAATATTATTTTTCATTGCACAACTAAGTACATAAACATTTCATTACGATGTCAAATCGACGCTAGCAATTAAATCTACCTCACACCATACAAACTGTATGTCTACATTTCATACTGATGCATGCAATCAAGAAAAATAATGCATCAGAATGTATATGCACCCTCATTATCAGCCAATGATTTGACCCAAAAACAGTCAACCACACTGTCACTGTCACCCACATCCTGTTAATATTTATTGAATCTATTGACTAATCGAAATCATCTATCAATCATAATTGACATTCTCTTGAATATTTTATTCAAGTACTACATCCCATATCTTATCATGTTTTTATTAACAAATTAATGAAGAACTCTGATGAAAACAACAATAGAAATCGATAGGATTTTACTTATAGATACAAAAATTCTTGCCTGATTAGAAGTATCGAGAAATTTGGCAAAATCAAAGTTCGATATACTTTTCTGACGAATAAGGTCACCATTGTTTTCAAAATTACATTTATTAAATTGACATTCAAGGATCCAATGATCTAGACGTGTTCGATTCGCTATATCGAAATCAACTTCATGTGATATCGATGTCTCACCAATATCATCTTGCAAGCAATTGAGGCAAATTTCTATTGAACCTTGAACACTCATTCCTTGAAAAGAACATTCCTTACAAGATTCTGGTGGTATTAAAAGTGCACATTCCAGCCAACTGGTATTTGCCTTAAACAAACACCAATCACCATCAAACGGTGTTTCTTTTCTCAAAAGATTTTTAAGGCTATTAAAATCATCATACAGTGTTAATGAATTTAATAGACGTTTTAAAGCCGTTAAACTGTTACAATTATCCGTTGAACATGTATATGAAATTGATCGAGTCCATATAAAAGTCGAATCTTTATTTTCTAAGCTAACAGAAGTGGAAAGAGTGTGTTCATTGACTGTTGATCTGCCGTCACCTCTTGCACTTAGTGCTATTTGTGTCTTTTGTGGTTGTAACTGCCATATTAGATCAATGAAACAACTATCACTAGTTGCTTGTGTTGTACAATTGTTAAGTGTATTTGGCATATGATCGGTTGTAATGAAATAACCGAAAGTGTTCATATCGATTGGACAAACATGACATGTTACAAAACATGATATTGAATGTATAAATTGAAGCGTTACCAATAAATAGAACAGCATGTTTTTTTCTTTTAAGATTGATGCGTATGCGCGAGCGCATGTAGATAATAACAGAAACGGACACTCAAGATATCTTATACAAGAAGATAAGCAATTATTTCAAGCAAATATTTAAACTTGATTTTTGTTTTCGTTATCACGCAAAAAAGGAATACTTGTTTCTAAATCCTTACAACAAGAAACCTTTTTCATGTCAATAATGATTTCAATAGTAAATTATGAAGTCACACTACTGATTATTTGAATTAAAAAGAGGACATATTTGTGTAATATGATCCAGGGAATTTTTAGTTATATTAGAATAACAGTAATAATGTTTCATTGATTTATACAATTATAATTCAGAATTGCAGATAACGAATATATTTTATTAAATAGAATTACCTAAACTATTTGTTTTCTATTCAATTTATTTTCATTTCGAAAGATTATTTTGACAAGTAGGAATCTTCATTTGAGCCATTGGAAAAAAAAACTTGGTTTTATTTAGTCCTACGCAGTATGAATCATCAATAAATTAGATCTATGACCTATTCCTAAGGAACTGATATACTTTCAGAAAGACATTTTTATATAACAGGGATCATATATATATATATTATGGATTATGAATTTATTTGACATAAATGAACTATTTTTTTACTACAATGAATATATTAAATCGAATTTCGGGATCAAATCGAAAGTTTTATCGAGAAAAAATAGTCAATTATAATGATGAATCAATGAAGTCGAAAAAGGCATTGTTCAACAATAGATTTTAATACTAATGCAATTAATTGGCTTGCCGAAATATTCCTTTGACATCAAGCAAAAACAAACACTGAAAAAATCTTTACTTTTTACAGTCAACATATCGATCTTATTCTAATGCATTATGACTTCCCTATGGGCTGCATTGTATGCGCCGTAAAGATTCCAATGCTAATATAGCATTGTATAACTCTACGATTGAGTTGAAAAAACAATTAATCGTATGGAATTGCTAATATTCAAAAATTCATTAGTCTATTGTGTTTTTGTTTAACAAGTTTTGTTTATGTTCTCTATAATAGGGGATTATAGTGCATTGCAAATTTGCATATGTTTCGATTTATCATTGGTTCATTCATCAGTGTGAACATCTTTCGAATTTACTTTCTTATTAAATGCTAGTTGAGTATATCAAAGTAAAATACTCGAACAAAACAACATTTCAAACAACGATTATATTTAACATACATTTATAAGCGAGTTTGTGAAATTCAAAGATCAGCGGACCAGTCTATTTCTATTATAATATGCATGTACTGAAAACAAAATCATTATTCGTTTTTCATCGAACGATCAAAGGATGACGAGAAGTAATAATTATTCATGCTGTGTTAAAGAAATTCTTTTTATTTTGTTCTTGTTCAATTGAACGTTGTATTATCAGGAAAAACAGACACAAGAAACGGATATGTTATCTTCTATCAGTAACATAACACGTGATGAGTCTTTATTCATCGTAAGAATTTTTTAAAAGTCAACTGTCATACTATTATAAGCGTGAATGATCCTAGACATATTATTTTATCTGTAATAATAACTCGATGAGAACATCCATGAAGTGTTTGTTTTATGTAAAATATCTGGAAACGAAAATAAAAGATCTGGTTAATCTTGAAGGATGATCTCATATTCTGAATGGCATACGCTTCAATAGTTTTATAAATATTATTTTTGCGCATGACTATATTGAGTATGATTCTTTCTTCGTATTTCTTTCTAAAACGTAGAACCATCGAGTCAAAGTGAAATAAAGGCACTGAAATTTGTATCATTTGTTTTTATTCAAGACAGTAAATGTCATTTGTTTTTCCTTATTATTTTCGTAATTTATCAACTTTCGAACAGACCTGTTTGTACTCAGTGAAAATAAATCTCATCGATTACTTTAGATAAAATTCTATGACAACCAATTTTCTATTGAAACACTCATGATGGTCAAGGCACAGAATGCTTTTGAAGTGGAAGGTTTGTATGAGCTTTTATTTAATGAACTTAGACGAATTATGATACGTTAGTTTATTTGAGATTTGAAATAGTTTACTTTAAATATCAACAGAAAAGAAATAGAAATTTCTTTAAAAAATTAAAGTAACACTGAATGAGACAACACCGTGTATAAGAGAAATAGAATCTTGAAATTCTATAAAACTTTCTTATTTTTCTCTGAGAAAATTTGCGTCAAAACCACTGATATGTGGATAATATAGTTACCTTTTGAATCTTTAGATAGTACATAGCCTTCCGACTAGTCCGCAAAGAAAACATAAAAATTATAGAGAAAAATTTCGTAGGCAAACGGTCATCTTACTCTTTTTTCTTTTAGCTCAGTAATCAATGTTCGCTATTGCATTCAGATAGAATATCCGCAAGGATCAAGTATCACTAAGTTTGCTAACTGTTTATAATGATGAGGATTTTTTTACAGAAGAACTAGGAGCAATGAGTACCGAGAGGCTAATTGAGACGGCTTAGTGATTAAATCAAGGGGGAAACGGCACACTTGAAGTAGAAAGTATGCCAAAAGTAGCTCAAAGTACATGCTTGCAGAAACTAAAAATACTATTCAAGTAAATTTCAAGTCAAAAAATTCTTCGAATTTTATCGCTGGAAGTAGCTCAAAGCTACTTAAATCCAAAGTCCACCGTTTCCCCCTTAGATTAAATGGGAAACAGAGACTTTGTGTGGCTGTCTTTTTTTCTTACTATAATGAAGTAAACCTATTCAATCGATTTTGCAATGGAATTCATGAGTAGCCCATTATGATGATTCGATCAAACAAACTATTGAAATACTTAAAAATACGCATAGAGCATTTTGCGTCTCTAAAAACATTAGTAAGTCATATTATGAGCAATTATCGTAAGGATTTTATTTGAATATTTTGCCGAGGTTTTATTCCATGCCCTGGCAAAACTTCCTCTACTTCTATTAGAAACTAAAATGAAAATATCGTGACATGTCTATCGATTTCTTGAGGATGTCAAAGGAAACCTTTATCATATCAATTCGATTTCTTACAACATCAAAGGAATACACTGGAGGAGAAATATGCTGTTTGGAAATAATTCACTTTCGGTGTTTTTTTACTATAGGATTCTATGAAGAAACATTCTATCCAATGCTTAACTTATCCAGTACAGATTTAGTTGAAAACTTGGAATATCTTTCAAAACAATTCAATCGTTATTTTCCGTTTTCCATTTTTCTTTTTGGCATGATTGGAAATATTCTTAATTGTTTTGTTTTATCACAACCGAATCTTCGCATGAATCCATGTGCTTATCTTTTTCTAATTTCGTCGATTGCGAATATTATTTCTATTACTTTTGGTTTAGCAACACGAGTTTTATCCGGCTGGCATATGGATTTAGCAGCTCAAAATGTTTTGATTTGCAAATGTCGTGCATTTGTTGTGTTCGTTTCACGAACAATTGCTTTTTGGCTTATTGCATATGCTACCATCGATCGCTGGTTTTCATCATGTATTCTGCATCAACGAAGACAAATGAGTTCATTAAAAAATTCACAGCGAGTGACCAAAATTATCATTCTTGCTTCCGTTCTTCTTTATTGTCAAATGATTTATTGTTATGATGTAAATATTACTGCAGCTCCACTTCAATGCTATGGTAAAAATGTAGTTTGTCGTTCTCTAACCGATTTTACATATGCAACGATAACTGTATTAAGTCCATTGCTAATTATGTGTATATTTGGTTTAATCACAATATCGAATATACGGCATCATTATTATAAGCGAGCATTAAAAAGAAAGGCATTTAAAGTAAATCCGAACAATAAAACAACATTCAAATCCGTCAGCATTCAACGACGACGAAGAAAGCGAATAAATCGTTATCTGCATCATGTACTATTCGTTCAAATTGTTTTTCTTTCAATTCTAACAGTACCACAAGCGATTGAAAAAATCTATACGACATTAACGGTGAATACAAAAAAATCATCGTTACATATGACTATTCACAAATTTATTTATAATTTTGTATTGCTTCTCACTTATTTGGCTAGCGGATTACCATTCTATATCTATACACTATGCGGTGGAAGTATATTTCGTAATACGCTACTGAATTTGTTGAGAAAAATTATTCCTAACTATAATTAAAATATACATTTAACATGCTAAACTAGGGAATATGTGTAAATTTCTCTTATTATATTCTTTTGAATCTATTAAAATTAAAATAAATATTTTATAGCTTCTCTGTGTAGAGGATAATAAACAGATGTTTTGAATATCACTAAACATACTGTAATATACACTATTAGCTCATACTGATAGATTAATGAAAGAGATTTTGAAATATTTACTATGCATTTTGTAAGACTATCACCAAAAACTGTCAAAATTTGAAAAACTCAATCTTTCAAATAATGAAACGCAAAATGTTGTTCTGCATATTGATTGAAAACTATGAATATGATTATCATTTATCTACTGTCATTATATGAAAATCATCGACGATTTGTGTTTGTTGTAATTATTCAATTATAAAAGTGCACGTACTTGCTTGCATAAGAGAAATACATTTTCAAACTGAACAAATAAATAATCGCTTTATAAATATTTGATATACAGAAATTATGAATATTTAGTGAAAATCTAGCCAAGTAATAACTAATTAACACGATAAATAAAGTCTTCTTGAAAGTAAACTCATAAATGTCATAAAATAATTATGTATAAGATTTGCCACTCAAAATTGCTACACGGAAAAAATGGCGTGTTTTTAATTATTTTACTTTGTTACTCCTGACTTATGTATGATTGATGGGCCCCTGTTAGTATTATGCCACTGGTGACGAATATCTTGCTCGTTGAAACCTTCCACATTTTTCGTTTCTATATATATCCTTTAGACATATTGTTTTTCGATCTCTCTACGACACATTGTTTATTACATGACAATTTATTATTCACAAGAACTCATTGGTTGAAAGACGTCTAGTGACTTCATTGTAAATCTTTCAGTGATATACATTTTCCTGATTTTCTCTCCATGCTTCGTGACCCATTTCTTTAGAAACATGGATACGTCATCATATCGTTTCCTTTTTTTTTTCAAGAATTAACATGTCTGCAAGATTTATATATGATTGTTCGAAGAATATTTCCCACAAAAATAAAATGATCGATAAATGTCAGCTCATTTGCATTTCCGTCTTTTTTTCATTTGTATGGATAGATTCTTCACAGTAACTCTGTCATGATTAGTAGCTGTCATACAAGAACTTAAACTATATAAGACTAGTCAAATTTTGTATCATTGTCCATGTAAAAAACATTGGATTAATAATCAGATTTTTCAACCTCAAACAGCAGATTATTTTTGATTTTGATTTTATTTTAATCGATTATAGTAGTTTTGTAGTAATCAATTAAAATTGATTAAAATAAAATCAAAATCAAAAATAATCTGCCTTTTAAGGTTGAAAAATCTCATTAAAATCAGATGATAATAGTGCCCTTAAAATAGATTTCTGATCGCATAAAAACCAATTATAATCAGATTTTTTACGATTTTGTTTTACATGGGTGATAGTTGTACTGAATTTTTGATTCCCTTCTTAGATACTTTTTGGTTCTGTTAATCAGCTATTTTGTTCTTATATCGGTTGGTTGTCTCTTTCTCTCCAGTTGCTGATGTCCTGCACAAAAAAACTCGCTTTCTATTATCAACATAAAAAGAATGCTTTTTTTTCAATTAATTATCGTTTGCATAAAATGGAGAAGATCTTTCGCCCGAAAGTAGTGTAAGTCAGACTGTAGATAATATTTATAGCTACTGTTACATCGTTGAAGGTGTATTATTCGATAGTTTTATTGACGGAGTATATTTCTCACAAGCAAATGTCTATGATATTTTTGTTTTACATATCAGACATGAGGCCACAAACCAGAATTGATAATGAATAAGAGAGAGAGAGAGAGAACGAACAGCAAAATAATGGAATAAGACGAGCACCTTTGAAGAAAAATCATACTGCTATAATTGTCGATTATTTCTTGATTCTTTTTGACGTTTACTACTAAAAACAAAATTCAGCTCGTAATTTGAACACATTTTTATGTTTTTTGTTACTCTTATCGAAATTTAATTTTATAGACAACACTATTCAAATAGGTTTTACAATAATCTGACGTTTATTCTAATCCCTGATTTTTTCTTAAACTCTCGTCGAATTATTTCTCTAGTGTTAAGACACAGACTACTGTGATCCTTGTGTTCAGAATATAATTGCATGTTTTCATGACAAAAAGGCTAAACATGCTCGTGGCTCATAGCTGTCTTGTTAATTGTCTTGTCAACAATTTTTTGATGTATTAATCAAATATTAATTTTTTTCTTATTATCACAAGAAGAATAAATAATCTACTGTTTATTTCTTTACTTCTCTTAGACTAATATTACCGTACGTTCAAAGCTTTAGTCAACATAATCTGCAAAGAAACTTCCATAAAAGAACATTTTCTAATGAGTACTACATCAAATTTGCATTATTATCTGATAGTTTGTATCACATATTATTTACACTTATTATTTTTTTTTCTAGTGTATCCAACGTGAATTTCTACAAAAGAAGATTTGTATTAAAGTTTTATTAGTTATAAAATATAATCGCCTGCTATTGATTACTAACACATAAATTCGTAGTTTTAATTAATACTGTAATCCTTGATGCGTAAGTAAGAAATCAAGTTTTAATTCAGCGAATTTCCGTGTATTGTTTGTATATTTGCACAGCGCACCATATGTTTTAATGAAAGTCGTACAATATCGCTATACGGCTTTTTCTTTTCATGCATTCATAATAACCGGCATCAAGCTACATTGGATATTTTCATTAAAATATTCTTAGCCTGTAGAAGAACCTAAAGAAACATTCAATAGTATTTGTACTGTGAAATTGCCCCCGTATTATCAGTATTCATTTTCAATTATGTTTTCAACTACTGACACAAAGTCAGTAGACTTATTGAACAGTATTTCCATACAATTTAATCGTTATTTTTCGATATTTATTTTTCTGTTTGGTATGACTGGTAATATTCTTAATTGTTTTGTTTTATCACAGCCGACTCTTCGCGTAAATCCGTGTGCTTATCTTTTCTTAGCTTCATCGATTGCGAATGTAATTTCTATTAGTTTTGGTTTAACCACACGAATATTATCTGGTTGGAATACAGATTTTACCGATACGCACAGCCTTATTTGTAAAATTCGTGTTTTTATTATGTTTGTTTCACGAACAACAGCGTTTTGGCTTATTGCATTCGCAACGATTGATCGTTGGTTTACATCATGTTATCAGTATCAACGAAGGCAGATGAGCTCATTGAAAAATTCTCAACGTGCAACATGGTGTATTACTGTTCTTTCGATTCTTTTCTATTGTCAAGTATTATATTGTTATGAAGCAAATATAGATGCAGCTCCATTACGATGTTATGGTAGAAATGTTAAATGTCGATTATTAACCGATATAACTTATGCAAGTGTTACAATATTTTCTCCAATATTAATCATGTCTATTTTTGGTTTCATGACAATTTCGAATATACGTGATACGTATTCAGTTTCGGTATTAGAAAAAAGAATATTTAAGAGAAATACTGAAAAGCATAAAACACTATCAATGACAATTGGACAACGAGAACGATGGAGAAAAATAGATCGTTATTTACGTCGTGTACTTTTCATACAAATAATTCTTCTAATTATTTTTACACTTCCACAAGTTATTGATAAATTCTATATGACATCAGCAGTGCATAGAAAAAAGTCGTTGCTACATACTACTATCGACACATTTATTTATAATTTCGTCCTACTTCTGACTTATGCAGCTAGTGGAATACCGTTTTATATCTATACATTATGCGGCGGAAGTATTTTTCGAACTACACTGATGACTTTACTACGAATGATGATCGAAAAAATAAGTTGCCGATGAGATAAGTAACATTGTACAAATTCCTATGTATGCATTAAAATGTGTTTTCACAGGAAAATAAAAGAAAAACTTTATCATATAACTATAATTCAATGCTAGTTGTTTGTGTGTATATAATTTTTTTCCGGAACTTAGTTTTCGCTCATTTGATGAGATAAAAGTTCGAATTGCTAAACATAACTATAAAGTCATTAGGCCAAAGTTTTATCTTCTTTGCATATTTTTTTTATACTCTGTAACTCGATAGGGATGTCGATAGAGTAGATTAACGATTTTTCTTTCATTCAGTTGCTCGTGTTCTGAAGAACAAAAGAAACATCAATATATTTTCTTTGATATTTAATGCTGTGCAGAGATGATCCTTATCTTTGTAAATAGAAAACTTGATAGAAGCTAAATTAGCATATAAATCAACGATATGGTTTATCATAATAGAAATAAATTTTAGGAAACATTTTTTCTGTCTAATTTTAAAAATCGAAATACTAATTTTTAATTTATTTCTACACCGCTTAATATATCATAGTGAAAATTTTATTTCTATTGATCACTCTACATACAGCAATAGCTACGGTATTTCATCATCTTTTTTTGAAAAGTAATATTTAGATTTTTCATAATAAAACATTGATAGTATTAGATAGAAAAATATTCGGTGCAATTTCTATTGAAAATTATTATTTATAAAAAGCATATTTATTTTTATTTTCAGTAATACGATATTAGTAGTCCATCGATAATTATTTACAGTTCTTTACAAGTCATTAATGAGATAGGGGATATAATTCTATATCAAATCATGTTATTTAAAGAATGCAATATCATTTGAAGATCATTTTTCGTATGAGCAAAAGAAAGATTTAACATTATATTTTATTATCACAAAATCTAATAATTTTAATTACTTTTATTATCAAAAATAATCGCTCATTAGATATTGTGAATGATAAACATAAAATTAGCACTGTCATTGAAGTACATATAACTGTCATTTTATCAATGGTTTTAATGAATAGCTCAAAGATTGTTCGATTTTTTTATTGAATTTGGTAATCAACAATATTATAATACTTGAAGCAGAAAAAATACTTCGTCAAACTATTAGTACAACATTTTAGACAATTATAGAATTTGTAAAATTTTAATTCAAAAAAGAAAATTATTGACATGCGAAATATAGATGTCATGAATAAGAACAATTCACTCATGCATAGAAAATCTTGTTTACAATATGCCTGTTTTGGTCTACTCCACTTATGGATAATTGGCGGATGTCAATATTAGATGGATTCAATGAAAGCTCTAAACCGTTTCAAAACATAGAGATTTAATAAATGTGTTTATCTGGTGGAAAATTGGTTAATCGAAAGTAAACAACATATGTAGGTAAAAACAAACGACGTTGCCAGTACAGAATTTCTTTTACATTGAGTTTTGGTGCTCGTGCAACTGATCCGATTTCTTAAGTATTTTACATATTAACAATACAAATGATTAAAATAAGTTTCATTTAAAATACGATGGCTTACGACAGATGAGTCTTACGGGCATTATTTTATTATTAGTTTTGGTTTTGTAGAAAATTCAATGAAAAATATACAAAATGCATTGTGAGACAATTTTTGTATTATACCAAAACAAAAGCCTATCTTGATCGGATAGTAGAAGCAGCAGTTTTGATTTATTGACATCTTTACTTACAGTTGACGATTCGTAAGTCATTTATGCTATGTGACTAAAATTGGTTCTCTCTAATGATCACCAACTCATTGGAATATAACATGTTAAATAGTATAAGAAGATTATTATTGACACGCATCTAAAAGAATGCTCGAGCGTACAAATTTCTATGAAAATAAGATCCACACTTGTATTGATCTTGTAGCTTTTGTGCATGTCAGTTGATTGACTAAATTAATTCTTATTTTGTGAAACACAATTTACAAGGATTGTTGAAATAATTAGAGTAGACATTGACAACTTCTCAAAAGTTCTGACTACGATTAATTTTGATAATATATGATTCCAAATCATATATCAATCACATCTCGTTACGATATATAAACTACTTTCTTATTGCATTTCGAAAGAATTAAGTATTAGGCCGATAAAGAACTCTGCATCACACAATACGGAAAATATAAAATTCTGTCTATGATAAATAGCAATAACTGCATTGTGTTTCACAGTTGAACTTAAAAATAAATAATTCTAGTAGCTTTTTTAAAGAAAAAAACTTGAAAAATGTCAAGAATTTGAGCAATTGTGTTTCATATAATCTGTGAAAAATCGGGAAAATTGTTGAAAAATATAATGAAACGTTTGTATAAGTACAAAATAACTTAAATTGACCGATTTTGAATGATTTCAGAATTTTTGAGCTTCATTTACAAGATATTCTGTAATATTAGCTGGTTTTATGCTTTAATCTGATAAAGCGATGCGTTATAGCCACTTGTTAATATCAGTCGCAATTAAGATACTGACATTAAAGTTGAAACCGTTTATAAATCTCAGAAAGTTGTGCTTGCTATTTAAGTTTTCATTAATAAGATATTATAAGAGTCCGCTGAGTAGTTATTTTTACAAGAGAGAAGAAGAAAATATTTCATTTTGAAATATAAATTCAAATTTTTTACTTTTTTTCCAAATAAAAATTCCGTCATTGCTCGTTTATAATGCTTTGAAGATTAGAAGATTATCCCGTGGTGATTGCTTATTTGCTTATCTTGTCTCGTTGATACTAATCTACTTTATTCATTTTCTATTTGTCGACAAAAATGCTGAATTAACTAAAAAGTAATAAGTTCTGAATTTTTATCAAGATCTTTATGGCCCGAAATAGGAATGTAAACTCATCGGTTTAGAAATATTTTTTGAGTAACCGGTCTGAGTCGGTCAAAAATCTTCATCGGTTTCAACTTTAATTGGCGTTCGATTTTTTTAAAATCCTCTTTTATATACTATTGACGTTGATGTGAATTTTTTTTTGCAATATATCTCTTGATTAATAGTCAAAGTTTTGCCTGTCTGTTTTCTTCAAACAATGAGTGGTCTCATGAACCAAAGACCGATGCATCAATAGATTCAATATTTATGCGTTTCATACATGAGTTATCGCCTATCAAGCATGACATGAATGTGTCTTTCATTTTCATTCTATAAAAGTTTCAAAAGACATTGAGACTAAAACAAAATTCGAGTTTTGTTTCCTATTAAAATCTGTTTTAAAAATAAGACGGCGTGGTCAAGCCACAATTTACTCTTATATATTTATTTGCCGTATATTTTTTTTTCTTACGACACTATCACAAATATCTATGAAAAGATAAAAAAAAACATATCTTGTTGTATGTAAGCAAACATAGGATGTCTTATTTTCTTGCCACTAGTAAACGGCACGAATTACGATGATCAATCATTTGATTTCGTATAACTTACCAGAGGATGTTGAATTCTATTGTTACACTGAACCAGGATTACATACAGAGTAAGAAAACATTTTTAAAGATTACCGAAGAAGTTAAAATGACTTGAAATTAAATACATATATATATTTAACACAAACGTTAGATTTTACAACAGTCTAGCTTAATCGACTTTGTTTCAATTCAGATGATGATATTGTCTCGTTACGCAATATTGGCCATTTTTACCATACTGATAACATCTAACAAGGCAACTACAACAAACATTGTACTATATGATTTACGTCCTTCTACGACTCTTTCACTCGATGACATATACGAATATGCTCATCTGCTAGGTGCATTAAGTGGTCTTATGAATCGAGATATACCTAGACTCTTTACTATTTATAATGATTCAGATCTACGTTGATTATTCTACATGGCGTCGATCAATTGGCCACAAGATGCAAACTACATGGAAGCAGCATCGCTAGTTGATCTAATCAAATTCTTCTCTGATACTATACAAGGTGTCGCTCTTTATGATCCTATAGTGCCTGCAACTTCAAATCTTGCATCCACTGCATCAGGTGTTTATAATCTAATACCTATTTGCTACAGGCCCGTACCTAATTCACTGTATACTCAACTTGTGGTAGAAGGTCCACAATTGCCTATTAAAGTAAACTTTGTAGATATGTTCACAGGAAACATTACCGGCAGTAGTAAAGCTGATGCATACTTATGGGCAACTGAACATTTTTTGGATAGTAAACTTGCAGATAGTACTTATCTCGGTTATTATATTGATAAGTGGTGGTCTCAATCTGCACTGGCATCTCAAGCTGTTTTTGAACATTTAGCAGTTAACCACGACTGGATCATCAAAAATCGTGGATTTCTATTCGATTTATCTCCTTGGGATGATGAAGCACCAAATGATGATCCTCAACAACCCATTGGAACTGATTACAATACATTGATTACCTTATTAAAAAAATCATATCAACAGCATAACGGAACGAAGTTTAGTACTGTTAGTGGATTTGTACCATGGCTCTTCAAATATGTGAATGAGAAACACGGTGGTGTACCATCTGAATGGCGAATGACTCACATCATGTCTGCATTTAATGTTGTAATAGACGCAGATGCTTGTTGTGCGGATTCTTTTGCTAATGCTGCATTCTTTAGTCACTATGCATCAAACCAAAGCGAGAAACGCTTCATTCAAAATGTTTTACCATCTCGTGAAGAACTTATTCAAAAAGAATTTTTAAATGAGCAAAATATAGTATCAAGAAAAACATATAGCCTATATTATGCAGGAGATTATGATTCAGCGGCATGGCTAGCTAATAAATTTAAAAATCTTTGGGACGATCCCAAGCGTGGATCTGTGCCTGTGGCATGGGCAGTGAATCCCAATCTTTATGATCGCTTTCCATTATTACAGCCTTATTTATATCAAACCCGTACTGCTAATGATTTCTTTGTAAGTGGAGATTCGGGTTCTGGCTATTTGAATCCCACTCAGTTGTTCGAGCCAAGAAAATTTTCTAATTTACCTCGTGCTGATAATCTATGGATTGAAAGGAATCGATTCTTTTACAACAAGTTCAACATTAAACACACTGGTTTCGTCATCAATGGAGATTCTGGCATGCTCACAAATGATTCTGATACGATGTATACAAAATTTAGTCCTCTTGGGTTTACACGTCAACAAGGCTATACAACACTTGGAGAAACAGCATTGATACCTGATACACGAGTACCGAGCTTTACTGAAACGGATCTATCGGGCAAAGACGAAGTGCAACAAGTACTTTCATACTATAAGCCAAATGATGTTAGATTCGTGGTCTTTCGAGGTGTTTTACGTAGTGCATCCAGTTATGCAGATATTGCCGAAAAAGTTCAACAAATACAGCCTAATATTACCTTTGTTGATCCATATACATTTGCTTTACTTGCTAGAATTCATCTTAGTGGAAACTATACTTATAATGATGATCTTGTTTCTTATGTTGATGATAATCTTCCTAAGCTGATTAGCACAGGCGATTATGTCACAGTCAATTTTTCCATTCGAAATGAAGGTTGGAATACATTAAATGAGCTTGATTTGAAATTGACGTTTGCTTGTGATATTGAATATGTATTTCCCTGGAACATTGAAATCAAACATGGTAACATTGGAACTTCGTGTTATCAATTTCAAGTTGAATGTAATCAACCCGGAGAATACAAGGTGGTCTATCAGCTGTTTAGAGGGAATACGTCTTTCGAAGAGTTTGGAAATGTACCATGGATCAGTTCGGTACGATTGGTTTAAATAAACTTTTGTGAGCGGATGTCGACGTAGATTTTTGATAATACTGACTCTTCCATTACCGAATAGCTATTTTCATCGTTTTTTTTCTAAATTCTATAAATTTGTGTTACATTTGAATGCGTATACTATTGATAGTAGTGTTGGTCATGGTGCAAATGTCTTCAGTCTCTCTTCACACAAGGCTTACCATTTAGAATGATTCGATCAAATTGAAATTCTAATGGATGAATATTTCTAGTAAGAAATACCCAGGGTAAAAATTTTAGCACTATATATCAGCGTAGATCTTATTTACAACTAATATATATATAGTCAATTTCTAGGCTTCTAGACATTTCTTCTAGCACCATTATTAAGAGAGATACAGAACTCGTGATGATTTTAATTTAAAGCCTAATAGAAATGTCTAACTTTTCATTGGATAAAATTTTGAAATTTATTCCTATTCAAGTTTTATGGCATTTTACTGCACATGACGGTAAAATGAGCAAAAAACATCACTTAGAGACAGTAAATTTTTCTTTAATTAACACAGGAATCAATTTAAAAAATTTTGTTCGGTAGAGAGTTTACTCTCATTTTAATCTTTAAAACAGAAGGAAAATATTCCGTAACGCTTGAACGGGAACGAGTACTCACTATTTCTTTTCTCAAACTTCATGTTTTAAGAAATATGACAATAAATTTCAAGTTAAAATTTTAAAAGTAAGCAACAATGGCAGCGCACTAGCAACATCTTCATATAATTGCGTTTCTTCCATTTCGAATGATGCACAAGTCTATGTATTTCTGCATATTATGGATACGCTGTTTTGGGATAATGATAAATAAGGAGGGGTGTCCAAGGACTGAGGGATGGGAATCTTTCCGATTCCTGCAAACACCAGCAATAAGTATAAAGGCACTAGAGGAATTGGCGATTGTCCCACAGACACTACATGAATCCCTTCTCAATACCAAGGCATCTCCCTAACGAACACCACATCATTCGATACTTTCTTCATAATATACTACACAATCGCTCAATTCCTCCGGTAGGGATTGCCTACCATCGATCTAACACACAAACTTCTCAGGTAAAAACTAGAACCCGATGGCAATCCCTCAACAATGGATTTATGTGTACACACCCGACTGTAGTGAAAAACACGAGGAAATGACTGCCAATCGTATACAACAAAACCTATTCAAGATTAACCTTCGATTCTTATCGCAAACCTCACAATGGTAATACCATACTTTTAACCAAGTTGCCTAATAGGGACTCATCCAACATCCTTCTAGTAACTGGGGAACTGTTGTTTCTCACATCAGTATTCTAATTCATCCTGGATCCAGAAAAGTACCGGGGAATCGCGGAATTATAATAGTTCTCCTGCAGTACCCAGGGACCGACCCTACTACCATCCAGAAATCCACTCCGACTTCCATCAAGTTACTAGGGAAGTGTATGTGACCAATATCGATTCCACAGTTACTCGAAGGAAATGTTGGTTGGTACCTTGACGGTAATAAGGTCAGTCGCTGGGTACTATCAACAGAACTATCATAATTCCTCGATTCACCGGCGTTTTCTGCTATCGAGAAAGATTGTCAACATGTATTCGATAAGTGTCGGTTCCCCAGACACTGAACGGGGGAGCGATTGTTTCCCTTCAGGGTAAATGGGTCAGTTACTAGGTGTTGTCAATGGAACTAGTATGGTTCTAATTTTTTGGTTTTTGCGCATTGTTTGTTGTATAGTAACCAGGTACATGTGATGTGGAATTGAGTTTTCAATGTCAGTTCCCTTCGTAGGGAGAGAGGATCAGTTCTGGATGTTTCTTTGATTCCCGGATAGTGATGATCATCTGAACTATCGTAATGATGTTTGGGATGAATGTGAAGGATGTTTAGGTTGGGTATCGTTACGGTTTTCAAATTTTGGTGGGTAATGTGAAGAAATTGATAGGGGAATGAATTAGGACATGTGATAGCTTCGCTGATCAATTCTCGTTTCCTCGAAGTTATTATTTCTTTTGACTGAGACTTCTAGGTATCGGAAGAATTCCTAAACTTCAATCATGGGACACTGCTGGAAATTTCGAAAAGAAAAATGAAAAGTATAACAAAAAAAAAAGACACGCGAACTAAAAAATAGCCTGATAGATCACACAAATTAATGAGATGGTAATCAATATTTGATGAACAACGAACGTTCAATCACCAGTTCACCGTCTCGAAGATTATCAAAATTTCGTGCAGAAGTATATGAAAGTATTATAATGACAATCTAAATTATTATTATCAAATAATTTACAATTCGTTGTCGTTACACTATGGTATACTTCGGGAAGAATAAAGTACGATTTTTAAAAAACAATATTCAACACTTATACGCATAGCATACTAGTATTATTGGTTTCGTATAAAGAGTAAATCATAAAGATGGACTCCTCAATTCTAGCATGGGTGGATGCTAAGTAATTAATGAAATAGTCTTCTAGTCAATATTTATACAAAAGAAAAAGTTAATTATTACAACCTTGAGAAAAAATTATAAACAGTTAAAAGAATCTCGGAAATCCTGAAGGTAGCGTGACGAGCATAGAGAGTGTCGCCTACGCCCATCGGTATGATGGTGTATTGTGTCGTCTGCAAATCTCTAGTCGCGCATTTCCTTTAGTTACATTCCCTTATACACGCGAGAGTGATCACGCTTGGGTGGATATAGACAAAGAAAGAACGGTCACGCAATAGAACAATGAGAGTTCATCAGGTCAATGCACGAACATAAAGATACAGCGAAGAGGATAAAATACATCAAGTGAGCTGTAACGGTAAAAACCATTACAACGTATGTAATCCGTAAATAATTTTTGAAAGTGATTATAATTCTATTATATCTGATTTGAGTATGGGTGTGGACTTGTATGAAACATAAATGTAAACCTTCACTCATATTTATGCTTCATAATAACATCCTACCATGAGTTCCACAGAATTTCGGTTAATGTAAGTTGATTCAGTGAATAATTATTTTCTATAACAATTTGTACATGCTCTGTCAAATCTATCGTTATGACTAGGCATGCACCGAATCCGGGTGCAGGTCGGGTATCGCGTCTCAATACTACACGTGTTAGGCCATACCCGGTATTCGATATCACCGGGGTTTCATTATATCCAGATTCGGTACCTAAATTCCCGGGTCTACTCATTCATATTCTTCGAAGCATAGAAATGAATAATATATAGTACCTATAACTAAAAGTAACGCTCGTTGCTTCGACTCGCTTGACCCTCGGCTGTATGTTCTGCTCTTCCGATATAATTTACTGCTTTGCAAGCTTCAACAACAATATTCTCCATTATTTGAAAAAGAATTGATACGATTTTAGATCCGGACATCAAAATCAATGCTAGATTACTGCATCTTACATACATTTTCACGCTTCTTTCTGTCCTGAATTCATCTGATACCACTGTTACTCAAGAACGAACAGGTCGCTAAAATTGGTACATTGCATACAATGTCATGCTAATACTAATCGCATAGACAGCTGAATAGTAATCTTATCGGGCTTAAATCCCCTCTCCCACCTTTCAAGAATGCTACTACTTAAGATGTTTCGATCAGCCTGAGATTTTCAGACACGCATGGCACCATTAAGGAACGCCCACAGTACAACTTTCGTCGTGATTTATCATTGTAGACATGAACTACGACTAATAAATAGTTGAATTCCACTATTTCAGAAAATCATTGTAACTTCGTTATCAGAGAAGACGTAGAACCCACGACTGCTTAAAAATGCAGTTAGCAATACCGCCTAAGTCTTTATCAAATAGAATTGCTAACTGCATTCCCGTTCAATATTTAGTGTCATTATACTGTGCATCACAAGAGAAAGGACCTAAAACTTGCCACTAGACAACGCCACATCCAGTTTTTTTCAACTTAGGAATGAATCATAGAAAATCGGTTTGGTGAATAGTTAGCCATAATTTAAAACTTTAAAACAAAATAAAATAAATCGTGACGAACCTGTGGAGAAAGATTTCAATTTTCGTGATCGAAACCCCTATTTGAGCAAGCTGCGAAATAAGTAAATGATGAATATACAAATCAGACAGTTGTATGAAAATAATTTTTTCGAAAGATTGTAAAAAGCTACCTATTCTTGAGAATAATGACTCTCCTGAGTGATTCGAGGGAGCTAAACCTTCCATTAAGTCTATGAAATCGAAAACAACCAAGGTATACTTCCCATTGAATGCAGTTTCCCGGTCAGCGACTCCTAAAAGTAACTTATCCTTGAGTTCATTTTAACACTAGAATTCGATGATAATTGTGAACAATTTTGAAACCACTTATATCTAGATAGTCGAGATATATTTATGCATGTCTACTACTTCTGACCATTCTATCCATCAATAAAGCAACAGCTAGCCGTTCGTCGGCGCCCCTACGGGGCACCACTCACGCCTAGCAGCTTCGGCTCTACCTTACCCCCAATACCACACAGTATTCATATTTCAGAATTTCCAGCCCACTACATTTTTGTTAAACTCAGAAAAACAATCGATTCTTCAGGTACGAACTCTTCACTGGAAACTGGTAATTACGTATCCATTAAATCTATTTCTAACAAAGAGTACTCCGTAACCATTTCTGAGAACCTGCATTGAAGCCAAAATCGCCACTCTCAACATCAAGTATCATGACACAGAAAACAAACTCCCCATTTTAATACTGAACACTTCCCAGATCAAAATAGATCTGAAATATTAGCATTCGAAACTAGTCAACCATCAGCGTATCTTAAAATGATATTGGGCGTACACTTCAGCCGTGAAGAAAATTCAGTTGATTCCTGAATGATTGCTCACAATCTCAAAGACATTGTTTTTCCAGGAAAATCAAAGACTAAACTCACATAGCCAAAATGAAGTAGCACTTCTGAGACCTCGATTATCTATCGTCAAACTGAATAAAATCTAAATATCTTCCAATACAT